TCCTGACCCGCCAACCCCATGCTGCGCTGCACTCTCGCCTCCAGTGCATGCAATGGGGCGGCTGGCCGATGAGTGGGGCTCATTCCCCCAGGCCATCCTGTGGAAGTTCAAGAACGATTGTCGGGACATGCTAGGCGTCACTTGCACTGCAGATGGCTTTGTTGTATCCCTGTAAGCACTTCCATGCAGGAGGAACAACCTCATCTTTGTATCACACACACACACCCGTTCGGCCCCTGCATTCATGCAGTCGCAACCTGTCTTGGGGGGTCTGATTGGTTTGTTGATCGGCACATTTGTCAACCACTCCCCTGCTTTTGAAACGGAATCGATTTCGAGATTTCTCAAAAGTGCTTCGATTCGAATATGTCTTAGAAGTTGGACGGCACATGCATCAGCCTCAAAATTCATATGTCGGCACCCGCCAATCACCGAGTTGAAAGTCTGTGTTTCATTCAACTTCCCTCGGCAACCACATATTGACTTTCTGTCACACAGTCCTCTTTTCAGTTACTCCTGCAATCTTTGCTAACGTTTTTGCCATGTAATGGTTGCCCGTCTTCATGTGTGAACAGTCCCCTCCTCCATGTTTATCTTCTCTTCTCCATGTGTGATCAGGTGGGTGAGTGGGGAGCCTATCATGAAGCCCATTCCAGATGCCATCAGCGGCCTGGAGCGACTCAAATCACTGTGAGCCTTTTCCCTCCTGTGCTTCCCGGTAGTGACCATTCGCTTAGTTCATCTCAGCATTCCCCATGCCCTCTTCAGCACCACTCTGCTTCACTGCACACCACACCAAGCCATGTCGTCTTCCCCTAGTGCAGCATGCTGTGCAGACAGCCTCTGTCTTTCCAAATGCCATATGTGTGTGTCTGTGCCGGTCCCGAATCCCGTGAATGCACACGTGCCAATCACATACACTCGGTGCCGCTCTCCAGCTCACAACGTGCCCATGCTTCACCCTGTGCCAGTGCCTGCTTGCTTGCCTGTCGGCCTCTCTGCCTCTGCCTCTGCCTGTGGCTTCCCGCAGCACTCTGACAAACTGCCACGTGCCGGGTCCACTGCCGTCCGCGCTCTTCACTCTGCATCACCTCACAGAACTGTTCGTCCTCCTGCACCTCCTGCAACTTCTGCAGCCCTTGTTGTTTTATTAACCATAGTAGCGTGTTAATAGCTTTACTGTGCAGCTCACACGTCTATTGTCGCTGCTTCGACTGCACAGAGAGCTCATCATTATTCTTGCTGTCCCCATCCACCTTTTCAATATGTAGTACTTAGAACTTACTAGTACACTGCCATGCTTGTGCGGCGGGGGAATGTGGGGGTGTTTTGTGCGCCAGGAATCTGAACTACAACAATCTCTCTGGGTCTATACCTGCTGACTTCAGCAAGCTTAGCAACCTGCAGTATATGTGAGGAGGCAGCAGTGCAGCATATGTGCATGGCACGTGGTGGTGTAGTGTGTTCACACGTGATGTGGCGTAGTTCTGTGATTGTGTTGCAGTGCACTGGATTCCCATGGGTTGGTGTGATGCTTGGCTGGGTGCTCTATGTTCTCGATGTTCTCGCCCGTCAATCATTTCATTCCATTGTTCTCTGGATTTCCCACTGTATCCTGTTCTACTGTCGTGCGTGTTTCATGTCATGTCAAGTGGGTGCCTTTGCATTCCTACTTGTTCTGTCACCCTTGCTGCAGTGGGATGGAGTGGAATGCTCTTGGGAGCTCACTTCCCTTAGAGTTGTCCTCCCTAAACAAGCTTACAACCCTGTGAGTCTCTGCTGCTGCTGCTGCTGCTGCCCCTGCACGCGCCCCCTACTGGTCTACTGCAAGGATGCCAGCATCAGCAGCATCTGCGCCCAGCATACTGGATTCCCTCCCCTCTTGTGATTGTCCAACTCAGGGGGCTAAGCCACAACTCTCTTTCTGGGTCGCTGCCAGGCTTTCTAGCACTGCTCTCCAACCTTGCCATCTTGTGAGTGCCATTCCCTCTTATCAACCCCCCCCTCACCACGCTGCCACCACACCACACTCTCTCTCGCTACGCTCCCTCTCTGTCGTCCGTTGCCTTAGCCGTTATTTCTTACAGTTTTCCCAACTCCATCCCCTCATAATGTACTTATACATTTCCGCACAAAAAATGAGTCTTTTGCAACACTCTTCCACTGCCTTTTCTCTCCTTCTGTTGTCTCATGCCTCCCCGTTCCGTCAACCTCCTCTCCCATCTCTGTTTCCCTCTCCGCCCTGCGTCTCAAGGTCCCTGAGCTACAACAGTTTCACAGGACCCCTGCCCGAATTCCTTTCCCAGCTGCAAGGGCTGTCGCAATTGTGAGCACAGCACCACACTGCCCCCTACTGGACGGAGTTGCATCTGTCTGTCATCCCGGGCATCAGATTGACATTGAAGCCACTAGATAGCACAGCATACGTGCACCACGCATCCCACCCTCACACCCCTTACCTCCTTGTGCCGTACTGTCTGTGCTGCTGCTGCTATCGCTGCCTCTGCAGTTGTTCTGATTTCCATTGTGATTTCTGCCTCAGTGCATGACACAGTCAGCCAGTATCGCCTCGCCTCCTCAGGTACCTGGAGTACAACCAACTGCAAGGAAGCATCCCTTCATCCCTCGGAGCCCTCTCTCAGCTGCGCATCATGTGAGTCCGTCCGAGGCCCATCACAGGGATGGTTCGACCTGAGACCCGCACACAGCACCAATGCACTTCCTCCCTCCCGGCATGAATGGGAAAGGGGGTGCTAAATCAATAGAGGATTGTGCTGATGAGCTTAGCTGTTTTGATGCACCCCCCCCCCCCCCCCCCCGACCAGCAGCAACCTGTTGCACAAACATGACTGCGGCATTGCTCCCTGAATTTTCTCTCCTGGTCGTGCCTGCCCTTGCATGCATGCCTCTGTGTGCCCTTGCGTGCCACGCATGGCTTTACGCGTGCCCCTAACTGCAGGTTGCTGGGTGTGAATGACTTCAGCAGCACCATTCCCTCCACGCTGGCCAACCTTAAGAACCTCGAAGTCCTGTGAGCAGCCACCTTGACCTTTGAATCAACTCAAAAGTCCCTTCGAATGACTTTAGCACCACAGCTCCCTCCCCACTGGTCAACCTGAAAAGCCTAGAAGTCCTGTCAGCAGCCAAGTTCGCTGCTCTTGCTTTTCTTTCTTTCTTGTTGTCTCAGTTTGTTTGTTTGCTTGTTTGCTTGCTTGCTTTTCTTGATCAAGCCCAATCAACTCTTTTGTGATGAACACACAATGAACCCCTGCTTTAATTCACTCTTCCCATGCTTCATCAGCCCCCCTCGTCGAGTCCTTCAGCAGCCCTCATGATCAAGCCAATACACATACCCGTTGTCACCCCTCCTTCATCCTTCTCCTTGCAACACCCACAGTTCCCTCCGCACGTTACGCCTGCACGGCCCGGTTCCTCCGGCTCTCAGCTCATTGCAGAAGCTTTGGCACCTGTGAGTGTGTTTTCGGAGTCGAATCTAAAGTCATTGCAGAAGTTGTGTGTATGTTCACTGGATCTAGGTGCCAGGAAATGTTCTTGTTAATGAGCTGCTGTTGCAATGCTGATCTGGGCCTGCCTTGCTGTATTCTACAAGGCACTAAGCAGCGAGCTGGTCGTGTGTCTCGTGGTCGCGAGCCTTGCGACGCGAGGAGCTTCGTGATTGGCTCATCACGACCCGGCTGGTGCAGCAAAGACGCTGTTTAGCTCCTTATTCTAGAAAGCTGAGTCAAATGAGTGGAGTCACATGATCGCAGCCAAAGCAAAGTCGAATGAGCAGAGTCAAACTAACAGAGTCAACGAGCCGAGTCACGCCCTTGCCCGTTGCCTATGTGTACATGGATTTGCTCATTCGTGCATTCATGCTGTGCATATTAGGTTCGGGTTTGCAACACCCATTTGCCAAACCCTAGTCCACATGGGTGTTGGCCACTGCACCAATTATCTTTGGGTGATTCTTCTCAAGGCATCATAAGCATGAAAGTGCATGGGCTGACCGCTTCCTAGTCAAGCCATGCTGGGCATCTGGCCAGCCGCTTGTGACTGTCACAAGCTGGAAGCTTTGGTTCTTACCTGAAAAGGGATTCATCCTTCACAAGGAAAACGTAACCTGGGAGCTTAGGTTTCAGCGCATGGATACGAGGACTGTACGTAGGATCAAAGGCAGATATTAACAAGAATGAAACGTGTCTCACTTTTGTGTGACGAGGCATGGTGGTCATCGACCAGTTGGCGATCTGAACCCTTCAGAAGACAAGCCGAGGCAGTGGGTGTGGTGTGGTTCTATTCGTGGGCTCGGCCAGGATAGTACCCATGCCCATGCCCAGTATAATAACCTGCTTCCTCACTTGAGCTGATTTCGTTGTTCACTTCGCATCTCCCCCACCTGCTACCAGCATTGATCTTGCTGCTCTGTTCATGTTGCGCGGCAGTTCCATGTATGTGAGCATGCACATTAGAGCACGCACACAGGTCCAAGTTGGAGGGTCTGGAGTGCGATGAACCGGAATGAGCCGTGTGTTAATCGAGTTGAGGCAGGGACGAGCCGGGGGCGAGCCAGCCTGGTGCGCTGGCAGCTCGTGGCTCGTCCATGTAGGCAAGGTGACCGAGGCCTGCCGAGGTCAGAATGAGTCCAGAATGGTCCGCAAAGAAAGCTGGGCACAGCTCGTCTCTCTTTCCCATTAGCTGGTGGCGTCACCGCCACGCCACCAGACTTGAAAGCATCTGATGTTTCAGAACGGGTGCATCAGATGCTTCAGCATCTGTTTGACACGGAAGAATCATTTTCCACGATGGCATGTGCTCGCATGTGCGTGGCAGGGAGCTGTCTTCCACATCTCTGTCAGGACCTCTGGCACCCATTGTGGCGCACATGACAAGCCTGAAGAAACTGTAAGCTGAGTGCAGTGTAGCTTGTAACACCACTCAAGCATGTTCAATACTTGGTATGGCAGCTTCTGCAGACTGTACCCCGTTGCTGCACAGCTTCATCGCGTCTGTTTATCAACCTCGTGACTACCCCTCGCCATTGCTTTGGCCTTAATATCACCATCCCCATCCCCCCCCCCACCACCACCACCACCACCACCACCACCACCACCACCACCACCACCACCACCACCACCACCACCACCACCACCACCACCACCACCACCACCACCACCACCACCACCACCACCACCACCACCACCACCACCACCACCACCACCACCACCACCACCACTGCCACCACCACCACCACTGCCACCACCACCACCACCACCACCACCACCTCCACCACCACCGCCACCGCCACCGCCACCGCCCCCATCCCCATCCCCATCCCCATCCCCATCCCCATCCCCGTCCCCATCCCCATCTCCATCCCCATCCCCAACCCCATCCCCATCCCCATCCCCATCCCCATCCCCATCCCCATCTCCAGTCGACCCCGTGGTGGCCTCCTCTGCTGCCACCCCCATGATGCTGAATGGCTCGGCACAGCGCTCTGCTGATGGCGCCCTGCTGCTCACCCCCAAGGCCAAAGCCACCTGGGGCACGGCCTTCACAGCCGCGCCTCTCCCCCTCTTCTCCTACTTCAACACCAAGGCCACATGCAGTTACCAGCTCGCCTTCAACGCATCCCTTGCCTTCTCCCTTGCCTTCTCGACTCGACTTGCTCGTGTTTGTCGTCTCTGCGGCGCTGCCAGACCGGCTGGGAGGGGTGGGGAAGCGGAGTGTGGCGGTGGAGTTTGACTCGGTGCTGAGTGTGAAGCACAGCGACCCCAACGACAACCACGTGGGCGTCAATGTGGGCGGCTCACCTGTGTCCCTCGCCTCTGCCACGGCCCCTCTCATCCTCAACGACGCCCACACCAAGCACGCCTGGATCCACTACGACCCCACCAGCGGCGGCACCCTCCGAGTCTTCCTCTCCTCGGACCCCCAGTAGCCCCCCACTCCCATTCTCCGAGCTCGAGTGTCGCTCTGCTCCATCCTGCAGCCCAAGGCGTCCACTGCTGCATTCTACGTCGGCTTCACAGCCTCGTCCACCACCGCCCCACAAGCACACTCCGTCCTCAACTGGACCTTCACTGCAGGTATGTGCCTCTCGGTTGTGTGACTCTCAGGTAAGGTTTAGCAAAGCCAGAATGCAAAACGCTTTGAGTCAGGCCAGGTCAATTTGTCGTAACTCACTAGATTGCAAGTTCGACTTGCAAGTCGGTTCGAGGTTTGACTTCAAGTGTTAAACTGACATCTTTCTGGTTCCACTGACACCTGTTTATGCCATTTCTTTTGTTGCAGATTGAATTCTTTCTTTCTCTGTTAGGTACATATTAGGCAAAGGTGGGTGGGATTGTAATGATCAAACTAGTCCAGTAACAGCTTGATTCAAACTTTTTTTCGAGATTGATCCTTTTTTTTTCTGGAAAAACTCGACTGAGTTGAGTTGATCAGCAAGTTAAAGGACGGCTCTAATGCAAGTACGTTTTACTCGACAATATTATAAAAGCCTGTGGCAACATCTCATAGGCAAACCGCGGTTCACGGCGTCGTGCTGCCACATTCGTGCAGATCTAGCATTATCATGGATGAAGCAGTCGGTGGCAGGACCAGCTTTGTGGGGCGATAGGGAGTTGGACGCCATCAGTCTTTACTTAGGCATGGCAACTGGTTGACCTGTCCCGGCCTGCCATGACCCGGGCCAACTAGGGGAGAATACAAGCTTGGTCAGGTCGACCCGGTCTCTGGTCAAGACCCCGGGAAAGCTGACCTGACCTGCTGTCAGAGTTATATTATTGTAACTGCATGTAGATATAGCAGTAGTGTAGTTATCACATTCTGTTTGGTGGATTACCCCCTTTCCTATCATATTTGTACCCTTAGCTCTTTAGTGAAGTTCTCTTTCATTGCCAACCCCCTCACACTCTACCTCCTAGCATGGCTCCTAAGGCTAAACCCTAGCAACATATCTTGACATGGTACAGAGCAGGAATTTCTCCTGAGGACCTATTTTTTTTAATGATCATGGGCCCACCCGTCGCGCCGCCCGTAATGCGCCCCGCGGGTCCCCCGAATCGCCCCGTGGATGAACCCCGCGGGTCCCGTTTTTCGCTTTCTGCAGGCCCTTCGTTTCGCGTCGCGCCCGTGCGCCCTTTTCGTCCGTCACGCTCCCCCCGTCGCCCCGCGATCCGCCTTCGCCAGCGCGGACGCCAGCGCCACGGCCAGCCGCGAGCGCCAACGCTGCAGCCAGCCGCGAGCGCCAGCGCCTGCGCGGACCGCCAGCGCCACCGCCAGCAGCTGCGACGGCCGCCAGCGCTAGCGCCAACGCGACCGCCAGCGCCGGCAGTGGGTGATTCCGCCCTTCCCTTCCGTCGTGGGGGGGGGGGGGTTGGGGGGAGGGGGCGGGTGTGAGGAGCCTGCCGCTCCTCCCTCCCTTCCCTCTTCCTCTCTCCCTGCAGCAATTGTTGCTGAGGGGAGGGGGGGGGAGAGAGGGTAAGGGGGGATAAAGGAGGGTATGAGAGAGAGTGGCAGAAGCAGCAGCCCTGCATTTGCAACTGCCACCCCCTGCTCCTGTGGCATCTCCAGCTGCAGCCCCTGTTGCCACTTAATTCGTCTCTTTCGTTTGCTGCTGTTGAGCGGCAGGTGCTGCCGTTGAGCCTGCTGTGCCGCCGCTTGTTGCCGCCGCACGCCGCTCTCCAGGCGACCTGCGCCACATGCACCTTTCTTTCGTTTCTGAATTGGCTAAGGGGTTTCTGCTGTTGTTTCTGCCACTGCTGCACTGGTTGTCATTGCTCTTGCGTGCTAATGCTTTCAGTACACTTGCGGGTTGTGATTTATGCTTTGCTATTCCTGCATGCAGTTAAGGGGGGATGTCAGAGTTATATTATTGTAACTGCATGTAGATATAGCAGTAGTGTAGTTATCACATTCTGTTTGGTGGATTACCCCTTTTCCTATCATATTTGTACCCTTAGCTCTATAGTGAAGTTCTCTTTCATTGCCAACCCCCTCACACTCTACCTCCTAGCATGGCTCCTAAGGCTAAACCCTAGCAACATATCTTGACACCTGCTTACTAGATTGGGTCTGCTGTGACACGAGGCAGGCCGGTCGGGTAAACCCAACAATGAATCGGGTTGACCGATGGGTTAATCTTACTTAGCGTCAAGGGGACTGGCGAATTTTCTACCAATTTACACGGATTGGCGATTTTGGCCGCCTATGTGAACCAGTGGCGCTTTGATTAGTTGTTGTAATCGAATAGTGGAACCACTGAACCAGTTCGCTCCTAACTGAACCGAACCGACCTGCGGTTAGTTCCGGAGCTCGTGTTAAAATAGAGTAACGAACATGGAGCATCCACTCTTGAAATCTGTTTGAACGGTTAGGGTAGGTACGAAATAAGTTTCGTGAAACCCCAGGTGCCATGGATGACATGGCAAAAAGCTGTATCGAGAACGTTTCTAGAATTGAACCGTTGATTAAATTAGGAATCACAAGGGCATAGTTGGAGCTAGGAAAAGGGGGGGTCGGTTGAGTACATTGCCAACATTATTGGCCACCACCAATAAGTTGGTTTAGAGAATTATGGGGTGGTCTCAGTAATGTCGACAAAGTGGGCCAACAGTATTGGGGGGGCAATAATTGTTACTTAGAATGCGCACTTATCCAATTGCTAATAGCCTCAGCTACTACTATAACTCTCTCCTCGGGGTCACCTCCGAGGGTCTCTGGATGCCTGACCAATGTCAGCCCCTATCCAAGGATCCGAGTGTGTCGAGAGAAAGTTGTAATGACCACTGAGTTGCAGCAGCGTTCGTCTCTTTCTCGGCGTAGTCAAACGGATGGTTACCTTAGCCGCGCTGTGGTAGCAGGCACGGGGAAACTTCCTAGTCAAGATATATTTTCTAGAATTGCACAACATACAATGATATAGAAGCATTTCTCCAGTGCAATATGTTCTAATTATCCTGCTTGGTTCCTATTGCTATCCAGGCGCACACAGTTTCAAGTTTCCCACCTTTTGTTTGTAACTTGGTGGGCTCGCGATTTGCCATCAACAAACTTCTCAAACTTTCGCGCGAACCCGTTCGACGGTTCCGATGCGTGAAATATTTTTCCGCGCCTTTCTAAAACGGTCACGATCAGACCGTTCGTGAGCAGTTTGTAGCCTGGAGTTCGGGCGAACTGTAGGCTGCCACGTGTTTGCGATCCCTCGAAGCGTGAGCAACTCCCTGAGTTATGTGCTTCACTTGTGTTCAGATCGCGAGTAACAAACCTCGCCTCGATCATCTCACTGGTCTCACCACCAGCCCTGAAAACGATTCGCGAGCATATGAGGCTCGCGCTACTTCCCACGTGGCGCGAACAGCTGCTTGCTCATCAACGAAAATGAACACGCTACATGAGCAGCGACCAATTGCGTTCCTTGAACAGTGGTGGCGCGAGCAGCAGCTCGCTCAGTAACAAGCTGAACTCGCAGCGCAAGCAGCAGCCAATTCGAACACCCAGTGACGAAATGAACACACCGCGCGAGAAGCAGCCAATCGCAGCTGCTGAAAACACCACACCAGAAACCATCGCAGCGCGAACAGCCACGTGAGCAGCTCGATGTAGTTGACTCGAAAATCAAGCTTGAACCTTGAACAGCATCCGCAGCTCCCATTGGTCAACGACTCCCGTTGACTTCCTCGATTGTAGGAAAATGCCGTTTCTGCTTCAGGTCCAAACTGATAACTTCTTGTGCACCCTGTATGAAGTGAAATCGGCAGATTAATGACAGAAAATTGTCTCCGTAGTCAACAATCATTCCCCAAGTTTGCCTTGGGGGGCAATAATTGGACCAACGTTGGGCTCCAACCCCAACAAGGGTTAAACCTAGTTGTGCACCCAAACATAGTTTGGGTGCCTATCTCTATCATAGGGTTTATAAGATCAAAGCAAGTCACAGAATAGTATAATATAACACAACTCCTCAGCTTGCATAGATTTATATACCTGGATAAGATAAGACAGCAACTTCTGAATCAGTCACCATGGGGAGTAAGGCCCAGGAGAAGCAAGATTGCCGAGTGAGTAGCACGGTTGAGGGCCTTGGTGAATATGTTGGCGGGGTTGGAGGATGAGTCGATCTTGCGCACGGTAATGTGTCCATCCTGGACAAGGTCATGAACGAAGTATTGCCGGAGCTCGACCATTGAAGACAGCTTCTTTCGTGAGATGGATGGTGCTGGCGTCGTCACACCCTAGAGAGGGACAGGGTTTTGTTGTGAGCCAAGTTAGGCATGAGCATTTGGCCTGGCCCGACCCGGCCCGACCCGACTTGGCCGGACCAAGCGAGTTTCTGGACCGGGTTGGGTCGGGCTAGTCTCGGACCAGGATGTTGAGTACCCTGACCCGACCCGGGGGTTAGCCGTAAGAGCTCTGATAGCATGCTAGAATTAAACCGTTGATTATATTAGGAATCACAAGGGTATAAATAGTTGGAGCTAGGAAAGATAAGGGTTGGTTGAGTACATTGCCAACATTATTGGCCGCCACCAATAAGTTGGGTTGGAGAATCATTCAGGAGCCCCAATAATGTTGGCCAAAGTGGGCCAACATTATTGGGGGGGGGCAATAATTCCCCAATCCAACCTTGGGGCCCAATAATTGGACCAACGTTGAGTTCCAACCCCCAACAAGGGTTAACCCTAGTAGTGCACCCAAGCACAGTTTGGGTGCCTGTCTCTATCCTAGGTTTTATAGGATCAATGCAGGATGCAGAAGAATAGTATAATCTAACAAAACTATCAAGATACATTTGAGAAAGGAAGTGGGGAAAGGATAATCAAACTTGTGGGGTGTGTTCAGTTCGGAACCAATGAAATGAACATAAACTGAACCTTGCTCTAAACATGATGGAATAACAAAATAACATAAAGATAAATATCACAGCGAGCTCGAGCCTACTCAAACAAGTTGAGCTAATTAGTGGGTTTCAACGCTCCAAAAATGCCTTGTCCTGTCATTGCTCGGTGGCCCGTCTGCACGGGTTTCCCTGTCAACCAGGCTTGCCTTGAATCGATCCACAATTCAGGATGTTCATATGCCCACGCACCCACCCATTTCTTAGAAATGGCTGCTTGCTTATGACATGTCGTGTCAGCCAGAGTAAGACAACATTGGGGGTGTTTTTGCGCGTGTCCTTGTACACTCCAATTTGTGGTGCTGATTTTTTCCGATTGGACACTGTTTGGTCAGGTTGAAACTGTATGCAACTAGAGCATCGCTCCACCTTAACACCTTCTGTTACTGCTTGTTTCTCTGCCACACCTTCCATGTGGTTTCCTGCTGTGGTTGTAGATCTTCCGCTCAACCCGCGCTTTGACCCTTCAAGTGAGTAAGTTTGGCGCTTTTTCGTTGTCGCCATCGTGAGTCCATTCGTATCATTAATTTCTCCTCTCCGCTCTTAACGATGTTGCTCTTAACACTGTTTTCGGCTTTTAACACTGTTTTCTCCTCCCAACGCCCAACTCTCCTTCCTCCGCCCACCAGACCTGGCGTTGGGGTTTGTGTTGGACGAGGAATCCTTCTCATCGCAGGGCTTCAACGCCGCCTTCCACTACGCCAGTGCGGGCTTCGACCCCGCGCAGGACAACTGCCCCGCGTGGACTGTCATGTCCTACAGCACCTGGGTCCTGCCTGAATCCACCTGGCCTGTCAAGAACCAACGGGGCTGTGGTAAGTCGTATTGCCGCACGGCATGAACAGCAGGATAGGTGCAAGGTATGGCTTGGGGCTGAAATATGGGATGTGGGTGCAAGGTTCTTGAGATGAGAGAATTGAATGAGCCACAGCAGCCGCATGCAGCCATGCATGGAGTGAGATTAATAGTCGTACTTTCCATCATGCTAAGTGGAGAAAAAAGCTTGGGGCGCGTTGCGTTCTGCGTTCGAACGCAGAACGCAGAACGCAAGCAAAAACGCAGAACGCTTGGCCGAAATTTTTTTCAGTCAAAAACTTGTGAATCCCAGCCAATTTAGTGGGTGCGAGCGAGCAGCACGGGGCATGTGACACCAAAGAAATTCGAGTACCTTGTTGTCTCTCATCCAACCACAGAGCCCTTGTGAAATGTCTTCATAGTATTTTCTTACGAGCTATCTTCACAGCAACCTGCTAGTGATCACGTTACCATTCTGAGAGTGCATGGCTCGGTTCCCATTCCGGCCTTTTTTATGTTAACCAGGTGACTGCTGGGCGTACGCAGTGGTGGCAGCGGTGGAGGCAGCCCACAGGATTGCGAGCAACTGGGCGCAGCCCCTCGTGCTGTCGGTGGAGCATCTGCGCCTCGCCCTCTCCTCCAACTGCGACGGTGGCTCGCCCACCAAGGCGCTGCAGTTCCTCCTCAACGCCACCGCCCACGACAAGGGCTTGCTGGAGGACGCACTCTACTCGCAAGGGCTGGCTCTTAAAGGAAGATGGTTGGTGAGTTGCTGCATGTATTGTGTCATTCTGTTAGGGTGTTGTTATTGTGTTGCTTGTACCTGCTGTTGGTTCAGGGTTGTTACAGTGTTGCTGTGAATGATGTCCGTCTGCCAACTTTCTCGTTCTCCATATTCCTCTTCCCTGCGTACAGGCTAGCCGTGAATGACATTCTGTCCGCCGTCTCTGTCCCACTCCATTTTCCCCTTTCTTGCGTACAGGCGAGCACCCCCAAGTACTATGGCATCCGAGGCATCGAGCGCACGGGGTTCTACGGGTGGTTTGGGCTCATGCTGGCAGTGCAGCGCCAGCCTGTCATTGTGCACATCGAGGCGTCCGCACCCTCCTTCCAAGACTACGATGGGGTAAGGCACCCTCCTTCCAAGACTACGATGGGGTAAGGCACCCTCCTTCCAAGACTACGATGGGTTAAGGCACCCTCCTTCCAAGACTACGATGGGGTAAGGCACCCTCCTTCCAAGACTACAATGGGGTAAGGCACCCTCCTTTCAAGGCTACGATGGGGTAAGGCACCCTCCTTTCAAGACTACGATGGGGTAAGGCACTGTACTTGCAAAAGCGTGGCACCTGGAAGGCAGCTTTTGCCAACCTAAGTGTGTTGTTTTGCTGCACTGTCAGCTCATGATATAGGCACTCATTTCTCTGTGTATGCGTTTGGGCGTGTGTGTGTGTGTGTGGGCAGAGTGGCAAGTACGCGGACGAGGAGTGTTTCAGCAACCACCTGAACCACGTGGTGCTAGTGGTGGGCTACCTCTCCGCGGGCTCCGACCCCTCCAACTCCGCCGTGCCGCCGCCCTTCTGGATCATCCGCAACTCATGGGGCACAGCCTGGGGCGACCAGGGCCACATGCGCATGGACATTCGCAGTGGAGATGCCATCTGCGGCATCAACACTCTCCCGGGCCTCTTCCCTGTCGTCAGAAGTGAGGCGTTGACTGGGTGCCCTGTCAAAGTACTTAGTGCAATCGTCAAAAGTGAGGCTAATCATGCTTCCTGCCGTTTTTTGCACCCCTATGCTGACTTCTGGTGAATCTACCTTCTATCTGTAGCATAGTGCATTTGACGTGTCGTCTGCCCACACCCCATTCCCACCGGATGTGTTCGAGCAGGTAGTGCTGATCCGTGTGGGTCACGCTCCTTCCAGTACAGCATTCAAGGCCCGGCCTTCAACCCGTGTGGGCGGTTCAGCTGCAGCAAGAAGGGCACCAGCAATCGCTGAAAGTGCACTGACGCCCGTTTTGCTCAAGTCAAGAACACCGATGGGTCGTACACCTGTGCCTATGGTAACATGCACCGGGGAGGGTCACTGGTGATGTGCGCATGTACGCTAAATTATTCCAAAACTTTTGGACTAGTGCATAGAGTGAAGCTGCTCTTGAGAGAGTAACCCGTTGGCCTTCTGATTTGTTATTTTCCTTCTTGTTGTCGGTGGACTATTTTGAAAAGCCCATCTCCAGTTGCTAGCCTTCTTTCCTGCACCTGGTCAATTTCCCCCCTTGCCTAGGTGTCCACACATACCTATCCCGTTTTCCTTCTTTTATGATTTTCACTCACATATTCCCACGCCTACAGCATGTCCCCCCCTGCACATCCCAATGCCTACTGTCTCATGCATGTACCCATGCTTGCCTTACTCCTCTCCCCTCGCCCCAGTGGACGTGTGTGGGTCCAGCAGTCGCAACCCGTGTGTGGTGGGCACGTGTGTGAACGATGGCAAGGGCAGCTACTCCTGTGTGTGTCCCCCGGGGTTCATCCAGGGCACCACCCTCGCCAACACCGCCTCCTGTGCTCCAGGTAACACCCCCCTGCTGTTCTCCTCCTGTGCTCCAGGTAACACCCCCCTGCTGTTCTCCTCCTGTGCTCCAGGTAACACCCCCCTGCTGCTCTCCTCCTGTGCTCCAGGTAACACCCCCCTGCTGCTCTCCTCCTGTGCTCCGGGTAACACCCACCTGCTGCTCTCCTCCTGTGCTCCGGGTAACAATCCTTCTCTGGTAACCAGTCTCGTCTTTCCCCCTGGTAACAACTGCTGAGAACGAAATGGTCCCCATGCATGCAGCAGTTTCACATCTTTCCTTCTTGTTTTGCTCGCATCTCATACTCCGCTCCTGTGTGCCACTGACTTGGTCGGGCTAAGAATTTGATGTGAGTGGCGGTGTGGTGCAGGGGATGCAGGGGGGGTGTACACGGTGCGGCAGAGCAACGTGTGGTGCTCCCATGTGCATCCCATATTCGCCCTCACACTGGACCAGTTCCTGCAGCAGAACAAGGTGCAAATCCCTGAGTGCCACATCCGTTGGGTTCGTGCAGGACAATACAAGCATTCGTGATGCTTCTCATACTGAACCAGTTCATGCACCAGAGCAAGGTACCTGCGGCACATGCTTGAGTTCCGCCTTGGCTTCATCATTTAAGTCAGTGCCAGTATTCCTGATCCTCCATTGCCTCTCGCATGTGCCATCATCCCCTGCATGTACCATCAACCCACTGCATGGCCCACAAGGCATCGCCTGCTCTGCTCCTCTGCGCCTCAACGCAGCCCTGCTCGTCAACTCCACAGTGCCACCCTGCTCTGTCTTCTACACCACCTTGCTAGTAAGGGCTCTCCAGAGCTATAGGCCCGGCCGCTGGGCAGGCAAAGCTCACAGCAGACAAAGCATGATATCTCCACCAAGTGCAGAGCATGCACCTTCCACTCTGACGAATAGTGTTCTATTCTGCAAAAGGTTTGACCCACTTTGTGTGCGGGACCTAAGCCACCAGCCGCTCTTAATTGGCCTTTCCTATCCCCATTCCCATTTGTCCTCTCTGTGCTCCCATGCTGCCTGTGTACCTCTCCATGTGCCCCCAGGGTGACACGTGTGCAGGGGTGGGGCGGCAGGTGGAGCTGTGTGGGGCGGCAGCGTCGGATGCGGAGTGTGAGGCGGCATTTCAGGCGCTCAACCCCGCTGTGGACTGCTCCTCCCTGAAGCCCTCCCAGGCCGTGTGCATCGAGAGGGACCCCGGGGTGGCGAATGTGACACTGGTGTGCGACCAGTACTACCGGGCGCGCCTCAACGACACGTGCGACAGCATCAGGCAGCTGGCGGAGCCTCCTCTCAGCCCCGTGGACTTCTACCGCCTCAACCCCGGCGTCAACTGCAACCAGCTCATCCCCCTCAAGAACCACTCCCGCTCCGCCACCACCTTTGGTGCTGAGGTGAGTCACTGTTGTGCATGCAGTGTGGTGCGTGCAGTGTGGTGCGTCCAGTGTGGTGCGTCCAGTGTGGTGTGTGCAGTGTGTATGTGCAGTGTGTGTGCAGTGTGTGTGTGCAGTGTGTGTGTGCAGTGTGTGTGTGCAGTGTGTGTGTGCAGTGTTGTGCATGCAGTGGGATGCATGCATTAGTATGGTTCAGCAATGTGCTCCAAGGTTTGTAAGGGAGAAGTGTCTCAAGATACAACTAAACTTGGTTACTGAGTGAATTAGCCAAGCTTGGTGACTGAGTGAATCAACCACACCAACTTGGTTGGAAGGTCTGTACAGTTTGAGACAAAATCTTCCGCCCCTTGTTCCCTGGTCCACCTCCACCTCTCTGCTACATTGTCTACTCCTCTCACTACCTCCCCTGTGCCTGCAGGTGTGCATTGGCAGCGTCACCAACTTCACAGCGGGCATCTGTTCCAGGACCAGCACATACACCATCTCACCAGGGGATAATTGCAAGTACATCAATGTCAAGTACTTCTACAGCATCAAGGGCTGCTACAGGAGAATGAACGCGTATGAGTGTGTGGACATATTAAGGCCTGGAGTCAAGATTTGCACGCCAAATGCAAAAAAGGCCCGAATTGGTACTTGCAGCAGCATCTGACCAGACCGGCCCCTTGCTTCTACACTGTGTAAATAATATATAAATCTTGAGCAGCGGCCCCAATACAACTGTGCTTACACTCCTTATTGAGTTATATATGTGTGGCGCTGCTGGTGGCGGCACGGCCAGGGCTCTATATATTGTAAAATCAAACTAAGAAAAGTGTTGTAATCTCCTGCACATACGATATACCGCCGCATATACCGTATGGCCTCGGATATAAGCGCACGCCTATGTTACACTATACCGTATTAGCGCATATACCGTATGGCCCTTGGCGCACTGCTTCGTAACAAAGCAGCGCACTTGTACCAGTACCGAGTTCATTTGTACAGATCACGATTATAAGGCATGTTAAGTTCCAATTCTTCACTGAACAACATCTTTATTAAATTACTCATTACAATACCTACTACAAGAGTCTGCATCACTCTGGCTCCTAAAGGAAAGACTACAGCAGACTCTCCGGGCTCACCACCACAACAACAAATGTGCTGGCCGGAGTGACTTTCAGCTTATTGCACGCATCAACGCCCTTGAAAGCCATCAAACAATGAGCATCGACAGCTCAAGCTACGGCAGAGGAGTTGCTGGACTCCCTCTCCGAGGAGAAGACCGGCGCGTCAACTCCGAGAGGTCTTTCACCTTTGACAATCGTCGAGGTTTAGCTCCTGCACAAGACATTCAGCAACATGCGCAAACAGAGGCATTAGTATCACTACATAACATTTTTTTAACGACATCAAAATTGAAGACATCAGTCTTGTTCGACAGCAAGGATTTTAGTACGTGGAGCTTCGAGTTCGAGCTCCTCGCAGCAACCGCGCAAATCTGGATGTACTACAACAAGAGTCTTTCCTTTCTAACAGAAGGTAATCCCCAGAAGAAAACCTCTACTACCACAAGTCTCTCCTCACATGCACGGTCCTTCACCGCAACTTCTCTCGCGCCAAGCAGCTTGGCATCCGTTCCTTCACAACGGAGTGCGCTCCCGCGCATGTGTCCTAGAAGTACCTGCGCAACACATACATGGCAACAGACCCGGTAACAATGAGTCACTTCCTTAGCCAGCTGACATCCGCCAAGATGGTTCAAGGGGAGAAAGCGGGACCATATATCAATCGCTGCTGAAATATGCGCGACCAGTTGAAGAAGTAGTATGGCGGAAACGTCCCTGACGACATGTTCGTCACTATAGTCCATTCCGGGCCACACGATGGATCGTTGCTTCAAGCGCAAGGCATGAAAAGTGCAACTCACCCGGTGATCAACGTCAACCCTCAACTTGCCCTTCAACGCTATCAGCAACAGCCCTACAAGGCTTTTTGACCCATCCCCCCACCCCCCCTCCCCCCCCCCCTTCCCCAACCACTTTTCTCGCCCATCCTACCCTCCCCTACCCCCCTCTCTCCCACCTCCCCGACTTCCCGAAGTGTAATTGTCGAAATGTTTGGCAGCTTGTGTCAGCAGCTTGTGTCGGCAGCTTGTGATCGGCAGCTTGTGTCTTACTAGCAATTGGTCAGTTCTTCAGAAAAAAATGCAACACAACTGGCTATCGTACGTTGGAAACTTGGCTGGGTGCAGAACTTGGCGCCCTCTAGCCAGCTTAATGGGGCACCGCATCCCTAGCAAGTCGTGTCGCATCGCATGGCTGACATGGCAATTATAAGTTATCGCGACAACGAATATTAAAAAAAAAGTACACTAACAAATGCATCAGGGTTATTGAAAATTTTACACTTTGGCTCTAGGGTTTTTTATTTCAAAAACAAGGAAAACCCTGATGGATCAAAGTGATGAGAACAGGGACTGATAATCAGGGTTTTCAAAATTACAAGACTGATAATAAGGGAATCCAAAAATAGAACATTAGTGCAGGCCGCGGCTGGTCACATTCGCATGCGTGCTCTTGTGCGAGCTAACGCGATACCGATACTGTATTCCCCCAAATAGAAGACCTCCCCAAAATTCAACACCCACGGGTACCTACTACGGGGTGGTACTTTATTGAACTCGATTTCGTTATACCCCCCCCTGGGGGGTGATCAATATGAGACCCTCCCCTTTCCCCTATGGGCGGGGGGAAGGGGGGGGGGGGGGGGGTCCACGTACTTTTCATTTGTTTCATTTGAAACTGAAACATTCTATAGTGCGAATTTGGCTGTTGGAGGCTGAATTCCCGTGTGTTACGGGGTACTTTACTGTTTAAGGGTATTTTATCCTAAACAGTCCCCCAACCTAATCCCAACCTTATCTCCATCCAATCCCTTTGGGATTAAACTCTTCAATTACTCAGTTACTTGTTCGCCTATTTCGCCAACACTCTCTTTCGCCAAAGTCTTCCGCTGCGTTTATCCTCGACTTAGTCGACCCAGCTAATCTTTAGCAGATTTAGGCCCGCGGGCCTAACACTTGGTATCAAGAGCCTTCGCGGGGAGCGACTTTCAACGAGCGACCGTCGACGACAAGACTACGACGTCATCGTCCCGCGGTGCTGACTTGTAGACTTGGAGTCGTCGTGCCGACATGGATGAAACCAACACACTTGCTCAACTCAAAATGTTGACGCTGGAAAATCGTCAGGTACGGGCTGAAATGCAACAGCTTCGTGAATTCGCGTCAATTTTCTCATGGTCATGCCGAACCATCTTCTGCACCCAACACGTCGACTGGCGTGGAAGCGCTGCAGGAATGTCGAAGCGCGCTCAAGCCGCAGAAACCCGAGCCGTTCGACCCAAGTCAACGCGACGCGAACGTGCGAACGTGGATCTTCATGCTGAACAACTACTTCATCGTGAGCGGGGTGCAAGAGGCGGACGCGCAGCAGCGGATCGAGTACTCCGTTACGCTTCTGAGGGGCCCGGCCTTGGAGTGGTGGCGCCAACTCACTCAAACTGCTGTACGAAGGGCTCATTTGGACGGGCATTAACAGGGCGTGGGGCATGCAGCTGTAACTTCGAGCTCAGTGAGTTTAGCTTTGGGTGTTACCATGGTTCCGACCACATGAAGGATTTGAAGCGGCGCTGAAAAGTAGATTCGATTTGGTGAACGCCTCCGAAGCTGATAGGAAGCGTCTACGTCATTTCTGATCGATAGGAAATGTCCAGGCGTACACACGACAGTTCTTGAGCATCTGCAACGAAATAGATGACATCATGGAAGCAGAGATGCACGATCGCTACCTCGAAAGGTTGAAGCCGGACATAGCGGAGATTATAGCGATTCACGGGTTGTCCACTTTCGAGTCAGTTGTCGCAGCAGCAGAACGCGTCGACGCACTACGAAGCCAACGAGGTCGTGACGATCGCGATAGGGGATACAACAGACCGATCAACGACGCTCGATCGAGGGACGGACCATCGCCCATGGAGATTGGTGCAGTTAATAGTGGCGGCTCACAGCAAAAAGCCGAGACACATGAAGCAGGTTTACCCACAGCTTAAGGAGCGGCAGCACGGAAACGGAAACCGCCAGTAGATAGCGGGTCGCTAGCTGGTGTGGACGCTTCCGAACCCGCCACGTCTACCTGTCAGAATGTTATTATCTAGCCTGTAGTGGGGTGATTTATAGCGGGTACAACCCAGTTAGGGTTTTCTATATGTATCCCAACTGCTGCTAGTAAAACCTCTCCTTTCTTCAATTCTGTTTCTGCCTGCTAACTTTGACATGGTTTCAGAGCAGGTCGACCCCCTTGGGTCGATCTGACAAAATTAGAAGAAAGAAGAAGAGGATTGAACTAGCAGAAATGGGGATACAAATAGCAAACCCTAGAAGAGTTGTACTCGCTATAGAGCACCCCACTACAGGCTAGAACATAAGATAACATTCTGACACACCCCCATAGCCAAAGTGGGGTGTAATCAGCAGAGCAGGCAAAGCAGTACAAGCTCAGGATGGATCACAATGTCACCACACATTCTGAGCACAAGTTCAAGAAGAAATAGTTTAGAGTGCACAATTATGAGCAAAGCTAGTGGTAGTCACAACGGGCAAGTGAGGAGGAGGAGAGAGAGTGAAAGGAGAGGAGATAGAAGGCGGCTGCTGAAGCTGCAGACACACGGGCAACAGGAGTGGCGAGCACAGTGGCTACCGGACTAAGCGCCCGGACTACAGGAGCAACAGGCCCCGCGGCTTAAGCAGCGGCAGACGGGCAACGGACCCACAGGCGACTGGCGCAGCGACAAGCTCACTGGGCTACCGGGACAACGCCCCGGACTACAGGTGCTGCGGACAACATGCTGGCAGCCTCCACTCAACCTCCCGCAGACAGTCCCACCCCCCTGATACACACCCGCTGCTACACCCCTAGCTCCACTCCCACGCACCCCCCTTAAACCCTAGACCCCAGTCTCCCACACAACCACCCCCCTCAGCGACAGCTGCAGCATTGGGAGACGAAGGAGGAGGAGGAGCAAAGGGAGGAAGGCACACCGGCCACCCCCATACCCGACACCCCACCGCTCCCGAAGGAGCCACGACGGGCGACGGGAAAAAGGGGGGGGGGGGGGGTGGAGAAAGGGGGCCCACCACGGGC